AAAAATATATTTATACCATCTTTAGTTAAACTTTTTTTTCTTGTATATATACAATTTTTTCTGTGTTAAAGCATTAAGACGTATAATATGAAAAAAACATACTTATTTAAAAACATAAAATATTTGTAAACTTAAAGGGTTTGTTTGTAAATTTAATTTCATAGTAAATTGGAAACCTAGTATTAGATTAACAATGACAAAAATGAAAAAAAAAAAATGACACAACTTTGGCGTTAACAAATAAGAAATCGTTATAGGACAATATCGGCTAAATTTAACAAATTGAATGACTATAATTTTACAAACCTTTAATACGGTATGTAATATAAAGTTCTTCTAATGTTGGAAGGTGTGGTGCCACACTCCCTCATAAAACCGCAACGCCACCTCATCCTTTACAACAAAAGTGTGGTTTCATACCACATCCAATGAGTGGTGCCACACTTGGTTTTATTTATTTATTATTATTATTATTATTATTATTATTTTAAAATAAATAAAAATTTTCATTGGTTGTGTTCCAAAGGGTAAGAAAGCCATCCAATCACAATCAACGAAGGAGTGCTCCGGTCTGCTGTCATAGTGCAGCACTAGCCGCACCCAAACCACGGTGGAGGGTGGTGCTCCGGCCTAGGTGGCACCTGAGGTGCGGTCTCTACCGCGTCCACTGCCACCGGTCTAAGGAATAGTAAATGCTTTTACAAAAACAAAAGATAAAAATAAAAACAACGTGCTTCGTTATGAAAAGCTTGGACGTAATAATTATTACCATTGTCTCCTTAGAGTAGAACAAGGTCTATAGTTCCAATCCTCATGCTTGCAAATTCTTAAGGAATGAGTTAAGATTTCCATCGTAACAAAATATACGTGGTCTTGCTTTGTTTTCTTGGTAGAGTATATATGTCAAATGTCGATGAATTAATATGAGAAACTCGCTAGCAGTTCACTTTTAATTAATTTTATAACCGACATATATACTATATAGGTACCTTGAAGAGTTTCACAACAACCAAGATACCAGTCACAACGACACCTTGTCGGATTTCATCAAGTCACATGGTTATTCAGAGTTATTTCAAAAGGCTTATCTTGTGAGAAACCTTTGAAATTGTATCCTTCTGCTATATTTAACGTTGTAAATAATTACTCAATGAATCGTGGTTGAATGTATAAAATAAATGCATAACGTAGGTTCCAATATGCTCTTCCTTGTGGTCGTGCCCTGCACACGTAGTTATGAGGTTATCTGCTTTTTCTGCTCTCTCATATTTCCACAATCACCATCTATTTCAGGTACGTCTCTTTATGTTTATTCTTAGTGACAAAATTTAACTACAATATAAATGTAGTTGATCGTTAGTAATATAATAGATATCTTTTTTTTTTGGAATTTATTTATCGTCTATCTTTTGTTAGATTTTCAATGGCCCTCAATGGTATACCGTTAGGGGTGGGTCACAGACCTACATCAAAAAGGTGATTTATTAGTTTCCATATTAAATTTTTCATTATTGAAAGTATAACCATCATTTTTTAAGCGATTAACTTATACACCCTCTAACCCTGCACATAAATCTAAATTTATTTTAACCCTAAACCTATTGGTTAAGGGAAAACTTTCCTATATATACACCTAATGCCATTGGCCACATGCACATAGTCTATGATAAAGTTTAAATATCCTAACTACATGCTACATTCAATAACAGATCAAAGAAGAATTGTCGTCTAGCGGCTGTCAAATAAGGACAGGGTGTGCCATTAAATCCGTCTCAAAACATGATGATGGTAAATAATTGCTTTGACTACTTGAATCTTCATTTTCTACTATATATGCCACCATATTGTCATGCATTTTATTTCCTATGATTTTACAAAATTAAGACATTTTATTATTGATTTCGCCAAAGCCCACATCAAAGGTCACGATTTGAGCCCTAGACCTATTTTCTTGAATTCCACAACCTCAACTACTAGACTCACATATATTTATTGAATCGGGTCAAAATGATCCATACAAACGAAGATTCATACTTGATTGCCTTGGTCTATGATTAGTGTTGTGCTCTCTCAAACATTTATCATATATATAATTTTTTTTAATGTAAAACAACTTAATAGTTAAAACTGTATTGTAATTTTAATAAAACTAAAAAAAAAATTATCAA